TTATGTATTTTTTCATGAATTAGCATATAGAATCATACTGACAACAGAAAATAGAATGGAATGGAATTATTGTTATTAATTATTATTGTTATTATTATTGTTGTGTTATTATTATGTTTTTTATATAAATTTTTATTTCTCTTTCCTTTTTACTTTAATATTTTAGCATTTTATTATTATTATTATTATTATTATTATTATTATTATTATTATTATTATTATTATTATTATTGTTATTATTATTATTGTTATTATTATTATTATTATTATTATTGTTATTTTATTGTAGTAGTAGTAGTAGTAGTAGTAGTAATGGTAGTCGTAGTAGTGGTAGTCGTAGTAGTGGTAGTCGTGGTAGTGGTAGTCGTGGTAGTGGTAGTGGTAGTGGTAGCGTAGTGGTAGTAGTGGTAGTGGTAGGTAGTAGTAGTCGTGGTAGTGGTAGTCGTGGTAGTGGTAGTCCGTGGTAGTCGGGTGGTAGTCGTGGTAGTGGTAGTCGTGGTAGTGGTAGTCGTGGTAGTGGTAGTCGTGGTAGTGGTAAGTGTGGTAGTCGTGGTAGTGGTAGTCGGGTAGTGGTAGTCGTTAGTGGTAGTCGGGTCAGTGGTAGTCGGTAGTGGTAGTAGTAGTAGTCGTGGTAGTGGTAGTCGTAGTCGTGTGGTAGTGGTAGTCGTGGTAGTGGTAGTAGTGGTAGTGGTAGTAGTAGTAGTAGTAGTAGTAGTAGTAGTGGTAGTAGTGGTAGTGGTAGTGGTAGTAGTAGTAGTAGTAGTAGTAGTAGTAGTAGTAGTAGTAGTAGTAGTAGTAGTAGTAGTAGTAGTAGTAGTTAGTAGTAGTAGTAGTAATGTAGTAGTAGCAGTAGTAGTAATGTTGGTAGTAGTAGTAGCAGTTGTAGTAGTAGTAGTAATGGCTGTATTAGCAGTAGTGGATGAAGTAATGGTTGTAGCTGTAGTTGTTAGTCCTCAAATATTTTCTTTCATGAAAAGGCATAAATGCTGTATAGGTATAGGTGTAAACCAGGTGTTGATGAACCTTTTAGACCATTGGGCCCTTCATGGAATTCTTGCTTTCTAATTAAATAGATGTGCAGTTTCCCTACACACTGGTGAGGGGATTTTCATCCCAAACCATACACTTCACTAATAGAAACTACAAATGACCAAAACTAGGAACACCTATGATGTTAACAACCCCTTTTTGATCCCCAGGCATTTATTGATACCTTGGATAGTTCCATTGACCCCCAGGGGTCGACATCAACTCGAGACCTCTTATGTAATAGATGTAATTGCCAGCAACGGCTCTTTCTCTTTTATGCTTTTTTATATATGTCACAATGAACTATTAATTTTTCTGTAATTTTCTTGTAATTGTTTTGAACTGTTAGGATTATCTATTGCTTTTGGCATAGTTGTTTGATTTTATTATTTTTGTTTCAGTTTTGCTGTTGTTTGGTTTACAAATTGTGGCCTATTTAAAATTTTGCTTTTGATTATCAAGATTAATTGATGTACATTGGATATGATATTTATCAGAAGAACCTGCACTTGTTCTAAATAATCAATTATCTGTTCACCATATTACAGGTTGTTCCATTAAGCCCAGAGTTGTCGGGATTGCAAGAGTACATACTATATCCACTGTGCACTTTTGTTTATTAATTGTCAATTACCAGTCCTACCTATCTCATTTCTTTACCCTTTTCCTTGATTTTAGGAATGATTCTTTGTTTATTTTTTATTGCTAATGGTGTTGTTAATATCATAATAATCATAGGGTCAATAATAATCATTCCAGTATTAATAGCATTATAAATAAAATCACCAGAGGACAAGTAGGCTTACTAATTGGCCCTTTGGTGGCTGAGCTAAAGGAAATGACCATAAACAGTGTGAATGCCCATTGGAAGAGGTTACTCCCTTTCCTGTAATGAGAAAATGTTTATGAAAACATTTTCAACATTGCTAATTTTTCTTTTTAAGAATGTTCTTTTTTTTTACCACAACAAAATATTGATGAATGTCTTTTGTCTTGCAGGTAATCAGAGGTAGCAGCATCATCATGGTGGAAGCGCTAGATCGGATATCATAATTCATATCCATATTTCTAAGGTTCATGTGATAACTTTAGCATGTGAGAAGAAGAAAGGGAGATCACTTGTTTGCATGTGTGAAGAGCAACTGAAAGTTTCTTTTGGTTGTGAGTATTCCTCTTTTGATGAGAGATTTAGGAGTGATATTTGTTTCTTTATTGTATTTGTTAAAAAAAAATTGTCACATTTGCTTACTTTTTGAATGTGAATTATTTTAATAGATATTTAAGAATAATTTTACTTCCCACTTTTCTTGACAATTTCCAGTGTGTATTAAGGATGAATGGTTAATGGTTAAAAGTGAAATAAATGTGCCAGACATCTAAGGTCATATAGCACTATAAGAAGACATAGTAAAGGGGGATGTCAGGTGATAGCTGCTATGCGTCAACTATCTAGAGTAATGATGGAAAGTTGAAGATGGGTAAGGGGGTTGATGAGGGAAAGGGTTATGGTGGTTTACGAAAGGGAATTAGATCAAGTGAAGGATATTTATGTGTCTGTGGAAGGAGAACAGGTTGTTATAAGAAGCAAGGATATGATGTTGGTCTGGTCTGTGAGAACGGGAACCGCGAATATTCCAATGTAGGAGAGCTATATCTTAGTTATCTTATGTGTTAAAGCGCCGGTACGTGTTGGGGAATCTGGGGAGGAAGGAGCTAGGGGGTGTTGTGACATGAGTAATTCCTGTGTGTATCCGGGAGGGAGTGGAAAGGATGGAGAGGTTGGAGGAAGGGAGAATGTGCGTATAGTTGGAGTTGAAGGGGGTGGGTTGTGTTGGTAGGGAGTAGGAGGAAGTGGTGTGGGGGGAATATTAGTGGTAGGAGGATGTATATCGGAAGGATGGATAGTTGGAGTTTAAGGGGATGTGTTGTCTTGGGAGGGATTAGGAGGGGGTGTAGGGGTGCTATGAGTAAGAGGGGGATGGGTTTCAGGAGGATGGATATCGGTGGTGGATGGAATTAAGGGGGTTAGGTTGTGTTGAGAGGGAGTAGGATGAAAGGGTGTAGGGGGAATATGAGTAGGATGGGTATGGATATCAGCTATCACTTCAAGTGTGGAGGGAGCATGAGTTATGGAATTTTGTGTCTCAAGCATATAGCTTTGGATGTCTTCCATAGTTTCTGGTTGGTTGGAGAGTTTTGTGGGACAAAGGTTTTCTTGTGAGGGGGGGAAGAGGAGACTGGTGTCTGATGAGTAAAGGTAAAGGTAGGTGGAGGTGAGTGTGCTGTAGGGGAAAAAGGGGTAGAACATTTAGTCTGTCTACTGCGGGTAGTGCGGGGAGGGAGAGGGGATGGTGTTGGGGCTGTAGTTGAGATTGGAGCTGTGGTTGAGATTGGGGTGTCTGGATTTAGAGTGGCAAAAGATTTTGACTGAGGGAGGTTGAATGAAGGGGAGGGGTAGAGCGAGCGACATTACTGGAGTAGGGAGTATAAGAGAAACCTTGTTGGCTTTCTTCCTGTCTGGCTTCATGTAGAGTGAGACCATTTTTGTATCTGAGAGCTGCTACCTCAGACTCGAACTTGTAGGTGGGACAGCCTCTATAAAATACATTATGGGGGCCACTGCAGTTAGCACATGTGCTTGTTTGTGCAGAGCAGTTTGATCTGTTATGACCGGGTTAGGCACAGAGGGGGCATCGGTCTGTGGAGCGACATTGTATGGCAGGATGTCCAAATCGCCAACAATATTGACATTGACGGGGAGGAGGTTGGTATGGTTGAACAGGGAGGGATTGTCCACCTATGTAGATACGAACGGTATCTACATAGATGACCTCTAGGAGGAATGGAGTAGCAATGTACTGATATCACGTCCTGGTCTTAGAGGCAGCCGAGCAAGTCTTCTCCACAATCTGACCAATCTTTGGTATCAACTGGGCAGTTTGCTGGGGAGATAGAGACAGTTCTGGTACATGTATTAAGAGTTGGATGAGGTTCTGCAGGGATGGGGTTACCAGAGAGATCAGTTAGTTTTGATAATGCTATAGCTGCAGCTTCAGATCTGACTGTTACAAGACAGGAGCGATTGCGTCGGGTACGGAAAGGAACTCTGCCTACATGTTATTGGAGACATTGTTAAAAGAGAAGTGTGTTGCCTGAGTAAGGAGCTGTAGGGGGGATCACGAAAAATCGGTCCCATCTAGCTGGGCTAAATAGAGTAAAGATATTTGTAGGGTTGGTGGTGGTAGAAAGACAGGGGTGTGTGGAAGCGGGAGTGTTGTTGAGGGGGGGTAGTATTATGGAGAGATGGAGAATAAGGCTGTAAGGTAGTAACAAGGGAGGTTGGGGTGATTGATGAAGAAGGTTGTAGGGGTAGAGTTGATGAATTTGAGGAAGTTGGGAGGGTAGGAATATTTTCTGGAGATTGAGTCTCTGCTTGGGTGGGTAATGCACTAGTAAGCATTGAGGAGTGGGTAGTAGTTTCAGTGTTCGGAGTTGTGGTCAAAGGAGAGCCTGGGGTCGGGGAGCCGGGGCTAATTGATGAAGGGGCAAGCCTCATTGCTCCTAATAGGGGTATTACATCTTCATTACTGGCCATGGGAAGCCTTGATTATGTAAAGGGAAATAAACATTCTACCCCCAGTGCCCTGTACCGGGGTAAGGGCTAGACAACTAAATCAGGGGAGTACCGTGCCCGTGGTTCCCGCTGGCCATTCAGGACTGGCACAAGGTCAGCCTTTCATCCTTTCAGCACGGCTCTTACACCTTAGGAAGTAGATAGTAGAAGGGGTTGGTGAAGGGATGGAAACAAAAAGCTGGAGAGGGAAAAGACCATGCAAAATTAGTTGGGTCGAGGGCTGAGGCCCTAGGCACGGGAGATTGGGTCTTTGTCTCCGTCTCCGTCTCCTAAGCCCCCCCACGACAACAACGGGCAATGGATTGGGGGGATATTAAGGATGAAGTAAAACATTACCTTAAATATTGAGCATTTTTTGAGTATATGACAATACATGAGCACCAGTAATGGTTGTGAACCTACAACCATGTTGAGTAAAAAGCTTTGTACAAATATGTTTCACAGGTCTTGCACTCCACATTGTATAATCTGTAGGCATAACTTTCTATTTTATTTACATAATATACACAGGTTCTTTATATTAATTAATTAAAGTATTGCACAGACAAGGCACTGATTGCAAGATTTCTGGCACTTCATTTGTGAAATGAAAGATTTAGAAGAATATTTAACAAGGAGATTTAGAAAATGAAAAATATTCAACAAGAGGGATGGCAGAAGCATTTTGATTTTCCTTTCTCTTACAAAATATTATATACAAATTGGCACTTCACACCAGTAATTGAAGTTCTCATACTGTACTCATGGATTCTTGTGCTGTGTTATCATCTTTGAAAATATACTTAATATCTAGCTTCATGACTAGTTTTCTTTAAATACATATATGTATAAATATATACAAAAGATGAGCTACACTAAACACCCTTCCTATAATGAAAGTACTGGGGATCCTCAACTCTACTTTGAGTAGAATTTAAACAAGGAAAGAAAATGATCTGGTAAATGCATCAAGTTCACTGAAATTGGCTCTCAGTCTATCAAGTTGTACATGATAACATATAAATGCTTCTTGTTCCCTTTTGTCAAGACAATTTATGTAAAAATAGATTGATTGTTTTTAAATTATCAGCCATGTCAACATCAACAGTAAAAAAGAAAGAAATATTTCAACTCTCTTTAAGACAATCTATACATGTAAAATCAGCACTTACACTCAAAAGTCTTTGGCATTAGGAAATTGTGAGCTTGAGGTCTGTTCACAAGTTACCTTTTAAAACAACACAATTTTCTGTGTGTGGCAACACTGCTTTATCAGAAGGAAGACAGGCCTCTTCATCCCATTACTGAAGCAGAGATCAGCCCTCCACTCGCCCCTTGAGCTGTGCCTTGAGGCGTCGCAAGTTGGTAGTCATCACGGCACTTTACCATGTGGCCATAACTCACTTGCAAGCACACCATCTAATCTCTGTTGAGGGCAACCTACATTGCTGGGGGGTTGGCAAAGTTAGGATTGGAAGGCCTCCAGTTCTTGGCATTCTTTCCAAATTTGTATACTAATCTTCTCCCAAGTACAGCTTCAAATACACCACCTTTGTAGTAATACCTGTGGAGCAAAAGCAATATTATTAAATAGGGTCTCAACATTTTTCAGAATTTTAAAGTAAATTTTATACCAAGAAGATTATATTGTAAAAATGCCTTTTCATATCATAATATCACCATCATTTACCTCCCCTTAAGAAACAGAAACCTAAGAAGCCTCACCTCATTGCCCGACTCAGCTTCTCATAGTTCATATCCTTATTCTGTTTCCGCTCACCCCATTTCTGCGCGACCTTTTCTGCTTGAACAAATCTGAAAATCCCTTCCTCGGGATTTTCCCACTTGACCATAGATGGGCACGTCTCGGGATCAAGGAGGAGGTTCCGAATGAATTCCCACAGACGACCTGTTTTCTTTTTCTTCTTCTTTAATTCATTTTCTGTCAATGGAAAAAGAGAGAATAGGTTCAGCATGACGGAAGAAATCGAGAAGGGGGGGGGGGGAATAAGATTTGCTTAGAACTTGGATTTATACCTGGAAGTGATTTTTAAATATGGGATAATTAGAGATCATGCTATCACTAGAGGAGTGAAAATCCTCAAAACTTACCAGGCTTACGTGGTCTTCCAGGACCTCGTTTCTTTGGCACTTCTGGCTTAGGTTCCTCTTCTTCGGCTGCGCTGTGGTCTGAGAAGTGGGAAGACTATTGTAAGTTCACATTTTTTGTGTAGGAGGGTTGTAAGTGAGAAGTGCAAACTATAGGATGATTTATAAGATGTAATGATTGTGTGATCCGCTTCAACTGAAATATTGATAAGGACCAAAATATCCCTTGAACAACAGATGAATATGAGAAATTGAATATGTTTTGATGTATTAGAAGCTTAGAATTCACTGAACTTATAATATTTTCAGAATTCTCAACACAAACACCAAATCTTAATTCATATGATTACAAAAGACCAGTGTGCATACCAGGATCTGAGAGGCTGTCTGCGACCGAGTGGTAGTGATTGGAAGGCGAGGTAGATGAAAACAATGGGAAGGTTTTCATGGAGGCCGTTGGAAGGCTGTCAGAGATTCCAGACCTGTGACCATTCTCCATCGCCATAGACCTTGGAGCTTCATAGCGGATCTCATATGGGGCCTGCGTCTCAATCAGGGTTGGGGGGGCTTCTCTAGGGGAGGGTGATGGGAGGTGAGCAGCCTGACCTTGGCTGCTTGGGCTGACTAAGTACTCATAAGAGGTTGGGGAGAAGAGATGGGACTTGTAGAGCATTTGGTGGGAGGAAACTGCAAGGAAGAAAATATTGTTTAGTTTTAGTCTTAGTTTTCAAATTTACAATATTTTAATGTGCCTTTTATTATTGCATATTTTCATATGATTTGATATTTCCGCCCACTAAAGCAGCTGTATTATTTCCGTTGATATCCATGACCATATGAAACTGATAAAGATATTAGCCAAAAAAGTAAGACTACTTTGAAATAGAGAGAAAAAAAGGAAATGTTCCTTACCAAGTGATTGTCTTCTCTCTTCCTCTTGCCTTCTCAATTCCTCTCTTCTCTGTATCTCTTCATGTCTCTGCAACTCTAATCTTCTCTCCTCATCTCTCATTTCAATGAAGTATCTGTAGTATTGCTCTCCATAACCCTTTGAGAATCTCTTAAATCCCTCAATATCCATGTTCAAGAGATCTTCCCCTGTTGAACCACTCAACTCGGAGAAGTTGACATCGAGGTTCTTGCTGTCCAGGTTTAGGTCTTCCTGGGCTTTGAAGATGAAGAAGACTACATCCTCATACGTCCATTCGGCAATGGGTTTTTCTTGCTGATTGTTCTTTTCTGAAAGGATATTTGAAATTAGATTATAATGGTCTTACAGATTGTTATTTAAAGAGAGAAATATGAGAATGTTCATTTCATATTGAATGGTTGAGATTATGATTGATCTTATCTGAAATCTCAGAGAAATTGAAGTTTTATTTTTTAACTACAAAGCTACATGAGTAAATGCATAGAGAAAACATTTTACAGGTTAGCCAAATGTGCAACTGCAGCTTATTACAAAGAACAAAGAAGACTGAACTGTTTAAAACACCAAAATCACAGAACTTACCAAATGAACTTCTGAGGGGGGTTAAGGTGGTGGAATGGTTCTCATGGTGTCGTTCTCTGGGTAACCAGGGAACTTGCTTGTTAGTAGCTGATGGAGGCTCTTGTCCATCCTGGAGAGGAGTTAAAAAATACGAGATTAATTACTTGACTCTTGTTTAAGGAAACTTATAAACAGTATCTGTGGATATCCTATGTAATTGACTTGTTTCTTCTTAAAAAGAGGAAATATTACTGTGCATAAGCATTCATGACAGTTATCTTGTTAGGAAACTTGTCTGGAAATCAAATAGACTACCAATATTGATGAAAGTTATAAATGATTTTAAACACTGTAGCAGTTTCATATTCCCTAAAGTGATGAGGCTAATCTTATCTCTGAACTCTTTGGTATGCATAAACGCATGTCATCTCTCTTCGAAGCCATGTTGAACCAGTAAAACAAAATAAATTTCCTCCAACTTACTCTGGGGAAGGCCTTGTGTGGAGCCATTTCGGTAGGGACTGGTCGCGTTGCAGATCCTGTGGGAGAGAAAGGAGAGACTGGTTAATTAAATATTTCAAGCATGTGAGGGTGATAAAATATATATATATATATGTGTGTGTGTGTGTGTGTGTGTGTGTGTGTGTGTGTGTGTGTGTGTGTGTGTGTGTGTGTGTGTGTGTGTGTGTGTGTGTGTGTGTGTGTGTGTGTGTGAATGAATAATAATCAACCTGAAATGAGCACGTCACCCTTTGAACTCACCTCCGGCTCCGGCACCGCGCACCGGGCACTTCTCTGCGTCCACGAACGAACACGAACGGCCCCGATACCCTCCCTCAGCCTTAAAAGAGCAATTAACAAACGGAACAACCGCAGATCCCCTTTGAGCACAACGAAAGTATGTCCAAGGCTGCCTCCGCGTCCGCCACACGTCTGGCAGCACTTTCCACAGCACAGCTAAGACGGAGCCCTTATCGGCGAAGATAAAGGCTCGCCTCTCTTATCCTGAAAGTTGTCGGCCGGACTCCGTGACCTGGTTATACATATACACATGTATATATATATATATATATATATATATATATATATATATATATATATATATATATGTGTGTATGTGTGTGTGTGTGTGTGTGTGTGTGTGTGTGTGTGTGTGTGTGTGTGTGTGTGTGTGTGTGTGTGTGTGTGTGTGTGTATGTGTGTATGTGTATGTATGTGTATGTGTATGTGTATGTGTATGTGTATATGTATGTGTATGTGTATGTGTATGTGTATGTGTATGCATGTGCATGTGCATGTGCGTGTGTGTGCGCGCGCGTGCGTGGGGGGGGGGGTGGAGAGAGAGAGAATTTCACTCACATAAAAAAAAAAAACAGCGTCGTGGTGCTACACTTCACAAGCGTACTCATTACGAAACCCGAAGAACACTGTAATCCGAAGTCCACCATCTGGCAACACTCCTGTCCTCGATGGAGATGCCGATTTGTCTTTTTTTGGTCCGAAAGGCCTTACGATATCGCGGAAGGAATTGCGTTGGTGCCTATATTTCCTAAGGTAGCAGGGAGGAGGGGGGGGTGCCCGCAAGGTTTTGGAGGAAAATGGGCAGTTTTCCCAGCAATGAACGTAGCTGAATTGTTCAGTTGGTGCTGCGTGCGTATGTGCTACAAGTGTGGAATCATTTGTAAAGTAAGGAGTCAAAGTTGTATTTTAATGAGTTTAAAAGCGTTAAAAGAATCCATTTCAATAAATAAGCGTCGGTCGCAAGACGTGGCACTGGCGTTGGGGCACTGCAATCAGTGTTCGTAAGAAAGAATGCTCAAGGCACACGTCTTCCTATACTCTACATTTCTCTACGCAATTTATTACCTCACATAAGCCCATAATTTGATCGGAATACGAACTTAGGCAGAGAACGACACCGTCTTTCAACCTACAAACATACTTACAAGAATCAGGAGTGCCTCATTCTCCGCACAGCCTGTCGTCAGAACGCACAAAAAGACACACAAGAACAGACACTCGGCGGGAGCGACGCACTATCTCAACACCTCAACAGCTTGTCAATAGCACAGGCGATTACCCTGTGTGCAGTGTGTCCACTCCCGTCCCGCCATGGCAACTGTTGCCAATCTCGGCCGTCCGCCTCACCCTTGGGCTCTGCGCACCCCCCTCCCCCGGCCCGGCCCCAGCCACCGCCCGACGTCCCTCCCCTGCGCTCCGTCGCCGCCGCTTTTAAAGCCGCGAAAAGGGCGTTCTGAGGGCGCCGACGGCCGGGATCGCCCATGGAATCGAAGCTGGGACATGGCACTGCCTCGCGGCTGCTCGCTCATGGCACTGGCACCGCGGGAAGGCTCTAAATTAATTTTCGTCCAAGTTTTCCTCCTCGGCCGCGGAGGGGGGTGAGGAGGGTAGCCGCGGCAGGTGCCGGTTAGGAATTATTCCCATCACACCATTCTGTGCTGCGGCGCAGGACATCGCGACTTTTTAGAGCTCGATGCACTTTGGTGGAAATAAATACGACAAACAGATGCTTCCCGGCGTCGTCTAATCGCTCGATCACGAAGACGCAGGCAGAGAAATTTCTCTTTGTGACCTCAAAGGCTGGCATCCTTGCCATTAGTTCGCAAATATGATACTGTGCACTTTACAAATGAGTGTGTGTGTGTGTGTGTGTGTGTGTGTGTGTGTGTGTGTGTGTGTGTGTGTGTGTGTGTGTGTGTGTGTGTGTGAGAGAGTATGAGTATGAATATGAGTATGAGTATGAGTATGTGTGAGTGTGTGTGTGCGTGTGTGTGTTTGCGTGTGTTTGCTCAGGTGTAGGTTTATATGTCCGTGTGAGCAAACAAGTTTGTGTACGTGTGATTTTGCATGCAAGCATATTTAATAAATAGATAATATGAGATATACATGCAGACATATACACAGCCATACTTGAACACACACACACACGCACACACGCACACGCCCATATACATTCACACACACACACACACACATACATTCACACACACACACACACTCACACACACACATACACACACACACACACATACATTCACACACACACACGCACACACACATACACACACACACACACACACACACATTCACACACACACACACACGCACACACACACACACACACACACACGCACAACACACACACACACACACACACACACACACACACACGCACGCACACACATACGCACACGTGCAAGCGTAGACATAGATAGAAAGGGCTTCGGCGACAGAAGGGTCTGTGGACCTCCGCCCGGGCGGGCCAGCGCGCCGCCGCAGCGCCCTCGCCGAGCCTTACCTGCGCCTTCCATCGGGTACACGAGGTACACGAGCTGCACCTGCAGGGGGTCCCCCGCGTCCGGCGAGCCTGCGTGCAGGTCCTCGGGCCGCATCACCACCAGCGGCGAGGCCGGGCCCTGCCCTCCGCGCTGCAGCGCCGACAGCAGCTCCTCGGGACGCAGCACCATCATCCCGCCGTTGTTGTTGTTGTCGCTGTTGGTGGTGGTGCTGCTGCCGTTGTTCTGGCAGTGGCGGTGGTGCGCGGCGGCGCCGTGGCCCGCGGGCTGGCGAGGCTGGCTCCTCCGAGGCGCACTCTCGGCGGGCGCGTCGTAGCCGTAAGGAGCCGCGGCGCTGCTGACGGGGGCGGGCGTGTGGGGCGTCCTCTTGGTCGTCTCGTAGGTGTAGTGCGAAGGGCCGTCGACGCCGTAGCGGCCGCCCTCGTGCCGCTCGCCGGAGTCTTTGGTGCCACAGACGTCCTCAGCCCTCGGCGTTAAGGGCCGGCGTTTCGGGGCTTTGTCGGCGCCGCCCTCGGTGCCTCTGCCTCGCTTCTTGGCTCTTGAGCGGAAGATAGACTCCCTAAGCGCTGTCAGGACGTCCGAGCGATCCCTGACGGGTTCCTGCGCCGCCGGCCGGGACGCGCCGCCGCCCTTGCTCGCCCTCTCGCGCTGGCCGCCGCCCTTCGCGCCGCTCGCCGCTTGACTCGGGGGCTCGCGACGGCCGAGCGCGGGCCCCGAGTACACCGAGGGGCACTCCCCCTGCGTCGTGTACGGGCCCGTGCTGGAGGGTGGGTCGTGGGGCCTCGCCTCCGCGCCGGGGGGCGACGCGGCCACGCACGGCAGCTGCACCACGATGTCCTCGCTGCCCACGTACCTGTTGGGCACCGTCATGTTGATGCCTGGCGCCGTCACCTGCACCACGAAGCGCCCCTCCGCGTCCACGGTGGCGTCCAGGGCCGTCCCCGGCAGACACTGGAGAGCGTCGGGGTCAATGAGGTCTATGGCGCCGTCGGCGGTGGCACTGGCGGGTGCCAGCGCAGTATACTGGGGCACGTCAGGGGTCGTCAGGACCTCGATCTCTGCCGACGGCACGGGCACGTCTGTCGGGGCCGGCCCCACGCCCTGCAGCAGGACTTCCTCTTGGATGGGGATCTCCTCCTGCGCCAAAATCTCGCTGGGCGTCGGCCCCTCGGGGCACACGGCCCCGCCCACCTCCATGGGCGGCGTGTTGACCTGCGGCGGGTTCTCCGACGCGGTCAGGACGTGGTAGGTGGCACCGTAGTCCATGGCGGGGGGCGACTCGAACATCTCGAGCGCCTGCTGGGACGTGATCACCAGGTTGTCGTCCAGCGCGAAGAAGTTCATGTCGCCGAGGTCCCCGTCGGGCGGAGGCTGCGCGTCCTGCAGCGCCTCGTGGTACACCTGCATGGCTTCCTTCGTGTCCAGGTCGATCAAGTGCTGCACCTCGGCCGCGCTCGCGCACGCCGGAGTCGAGTCCGTGTGGCCCACGTCCGTCAGCTCCTGCGGTGGAACCTCCGGCGGGTAGTGGCAGAGCCCTTCGACCTCGGTCTGGGCCTCCAACGGCGTTCCTTCGAAGGGGGTGGAGGCGAGCCCATGCCCGGGCAGGTAATGCAGCACCCTGTGGTCACGCGCCGAGGCGGGGGGCGTTGGGGAGTTCTGCGGGATGTCCGGCGAAGGGAGCTGCTCCACCTCCTCCACGTTGACGGCGGCCACAGCGGCGCTGAGGATCTGGTCGAGCTGCATGGCAGCGTTCTTGACAGGCGGCGTTGCGGAAACCTGGGGCTTGGCGGAGAGTTGGGAGAAACGGCGATGTCACTCACTCGTCGCGCTCCATCTTGGTCGTCCTCGACGGTGCAACGACACCAAGTGCTCGCTCACCTCCAAGTCGCA